GTGTCTCAGTTCTCTGGTGCCGCTACACCAGACACACCACCTGTGGATGGCTTAACAAACAGGGGTTTACTCTCCAATGGTTTAAGAGACTAGAAGTCCGAGTTCAAAGGGCCAGCTCCAGGGGTTGGGTGAAGGCCCCTCAGTCGTGGATTTCATTCAGCTCTGCTCCCTGTTCCAGGCCCACTAAGAGCTGGAGGCATTTTCTGACTCACACAGCTGCTGGCTGCTGAGACTGACAAACCCAAGATCAACAGGTAAAATGGCACAGTCCCAAGACTAGCAGACAACACAGCAGGCCACTGGTTCAAGTCCAGGAACAATCTGAGATCAGCAGGCAACAAGGCAGGCCACCGAGTTGAAGACTTGGCCAAATGCAGGATCCGGATGTGCCCAAAGCTCAAGGCCTTCCTCAAAGCCTCTCCTTACACACTGGAGGGAGACCACAGCTGAAGGCAGCTACTCAGCTGCTCACTGCAGAGTCCACCATGGAGGTCATTACCAGCCTCGTCATGGGGAATAACTACATCCAGGTGCCCAGCCACTCAAAACCATGGCCTGGCCAGTTGACACACAGCCTTAACTGCCACATCCAGGTTGAGTGACATGTCCCCCCACTTCCTCTGGGACAGTGGGGTAACAGCAGTCTAGAGACAGCCTTGAGAGAGTACAAATCTCAACTCTGCCACTCAATTGCTGTGCGACCTTGGAAAAGTTACTTACCCTCTCTGAGCCTTACTTGCTTCATCTGTAAAGTAGGGATGATTATAGTTTTCCCTTTTTTGCTTTTGAAGAAATTGAAAAACAAAAAATCTAGGCTCTGAAAGCACTTGGAAGAGTGCCTGGCTCATAATAAGCTACAGTACTCATCATCACTACCATCACCATGGCAACACTGTCAACTGTGCTGCACCTCTCTGCATCCTCCACTAAGAGTTAAGGTCAGAGGGTAAGGGGTGTTGTCTGTTCTTTTCCAGTGCCTAGCCCAGGGCCTGGCACTAAACAGGTACTCAGATATGGGCTGAACCCAAGTACATCCCAGAACTGAGGCCCAAAGTATTCAAACTTGCTCATCTTCCTTAAAGGAGTGCTGGCTCAGTGGTTAAGTGTTTGGCTGCTAACCAGAAAAGGCCAGTGGTTCGAACCCACTTGTCATGGCTCCCCATGAGAAAGATGGGGCAGTCTGCTTCCGTACAGATGTATAGTCTTGGAGGACCTGAGGGCGGTCCTCTTCTGTCCTATTGGGTCACTATGAGTCATATTTACCTCTAGGACAATTGTTTTTTTAATCTGCCTTACAACATTTGGTCCTAAACTCTCTTTTAAAAAAATAAAGCCAAACATTTCTCACTGTGTATTTTTTACAAGTGAAGGTAAAACTAAAAACGAACTGCTTTTGAGCTGGGCTAACAGGAACCCTCTCCATCATAACTCTGGAATTTCCAAACGAATGCTTTGATGACATGCCCTTGGCAGACTGGCTCTCAGACACTGGTCCGCCTAAGGAAGGGACCTGACTCACTCCCTCCTAGGAGCAATGATGATTCGCCTTGGCTCACTCCCAGTCTGCTTCACACACTGTCCACCTTTCCCCCAGAAGGAGACGTGGGTCCCCGGGGGAGTCCATCTCCTTTTTGTGCATGTACAATCCTGCCCCGACCCCACCCCAACAGAGGGAATCAATGATGGGGCCCATTCACCTCATGAAATACTTAAAGGTGAACTTGAGAAGAAATATAGCCAGAGGAGGAGGACAACCCCAAGAAACCGAAACCACAGGGACTCAGGTGAGGTGTTTCAGGGCCAGGAGGAGGTGGGTAGAGGCCAGCTCCAGGGGACCCTCTGGAGATCAGCTCCCAAAAACACCTACCACTTCCACAGATTCCTAACCTGCCTTCCCCTTTTGGCTTGCCAAAACCATATGTGGTGGTTAAGTTTGTGTGTCAACTTGGCTGGGCCTGGGTGAGTGGCTGGGCAGCTGGAGGTGGTCATTCCCCATGATGAGACTGGCAACTCCATGGTGGGATCTACCACAAGCAGCTGAGTAGCTGCCTTAGGGATGTGGTCTGCTTCCCGTAGATAAGGAGAAGCCTTGGGGATGGTCTCTAGCCTATGACACGCTTGGACCCTGCATGTAGCCGTGTCGTTGTTCAGCAGCCTGCCATGCTCTGCTGACCTTGGGACTTTCAAGAGAGTTGAATTAATGGCCTGCCGTGTGGTTTGGTAACATCGGGACTGTGCCTTTTTACTTGTCAACCTTGGGTTTGTCAGCCTCAGCAGCCAGTAGGTGCCTGAGTGAAGAAAAGCTTCTAGCTCCAGTGGGCCGGGAGCAGGAGGCAGAGCTGGACCCCAAGGTTGAGGGGCTTTCACCCAGCCCCTAGAGCCTGGCACTTTGAACTTGGACTTAAAGCCTCCAAATAATAAGACGAAACTCCTGTTTGTTAAGCAATCCCATTTATGGTATATTCCTGTCAAAATGGCACTAGGTAACCAAAACACCATAGTTAGTATATTTTTCTTTGTACAATTATTGAAATTCTACTTCAAACCAAAACAAAACAAATCTTCTATTTAAATAAGCATAGCATTAAGTGTTTATTCCAGGGGAATAGGACTGCAAGGCTGCATTTGTGTGTGTGTATGTGCACGTGCACGTGTGTGTGAAGGGGAGGTTGGGGGCAGAAGAGAAAAGAGGGGCTCAACGGGGGGACTCTCACTTTTCACACTATATTCTTTGGATTTCTTTTTCCAGTGAGCCAGTGTCTTGGGTTTTTTTTTTCTAATCAATAAAACTGTTTCAAGAGCATTCCGCCTGCCCCCAATAAGAACGCAAAACAAATCAACTATTACTGCACAGTTTTTATCCCTGACTTTCTCTTCGTGGGCTGTATAGTGATGTTTTTTTACTTGTATTGTGGTGAAAACATACACAGCAAGACATTCACCAACATAACAGCGTCCCCATTTCCAGCTCAGGGACATTGACAACATTTTCCATGTTGCACCACCATTGTTGCGATCCTTTTCCAAAGTTATGCAATGATTCTTAATACAGATGTTTTTGAATTATTTAGATGTGCTGTGACTCACACATTTCTATTTATCTGACTTCTAAAAGACCAGTGATGAAGTCTGAAATAGCACCACACACATCTTGAGGCCCAGCCTCAGGGCTCTGGGCTGGTCCTTCCCTCAACTGCGGGACACGTCAGAAAACCACGGAGCTTCCCAAAATGACTTAAAGTGGCAGTGTGCTTCAGTGGTGAGGAAGGGAGGGGACCAGGTTACAATGGGAGAGGCGGGCAGACAGGAAGCAGGAAAGAACACTGGGAAGAGAGAAGTGATGTGTTCCCTGGAGTCCAGTGCTCGTCGGCTCTGACCCGAGTACGTTCCTGTGGATCAACCCTAACAACTGCTCAGGGGCAGAAAAATGCATTAAAAATAAAGTTGCCATGGCAACAAAATCCTTCCCATTTACAAAGGAGACAAGGGCTAGATGGTGCATTAACTATACTCTGAGCCCAGAGTCTGGGGAGAAAAAGGACAGACAGGATGAAAACAAACGGAAAGAGGCTATGCTGGCGGTAAGGACACAAGCCACCTCCCCTTCTCAGCAACTCCGATGGCGTTATGCGACTGGGTGCACCGAGCAGGTCACGCTTTGATGAACTGGTTTCGGGAAAAAGCGTGCATTGCATCAGGGGGTTATTTTTAGTAAGTTCATATGTGAAAAAAGAAAAGTGTGTTGTCGTGGTCACCACAGAGTTTCTGCACCATTGTCCCAAACGACAGCTATGTCGATTGTAACAGGCTGTCCTACAGAAGCAAACCCTCGTGGAGCAGTAAGTTGTAGTGGCACCCCTTACATCACACTTAAAAACTGCCCCCAACCCCACACAGCTCACCTAGCCGGGCCCTTCCCCAGAGAAAGGCAGGGCAGGGACACAGGTGACCTAGCTGGAGGCAGTAGCAGGAACGAGGCCTGAGTCTCGCCCCCAGGAAGCCCTGCTCTGCTTCCAGCCCTGAGCTGGGTTATTTCAATGCCTCTGACGCCACACACAGCCACTGCCCGCCTCCTGCTGGCCTGTGGGGGGGAAGAGGGGTTGCACCCCTTCTCTGATGGGCACAGAGGCGCCGTGTAGGCTACTCTACGAGGTCCGAAGTGGAAGACAGGCTACACTCCAGCAGGAACCCACGGCAGCCCAAGTCTTATGACCAAAAGAGAAGAAAGACCCTCACGTTATAAACATTTGAAACTGCCAACCAAAAGAGAAGAAAGACCCTCACGTTATAAACATTTGAAACTGCCACGCAAGTGCACACAGAAGTCCTCTGTGACATCAGTGCCCCCGGAAGCCATAGATGTAGGACGGAGCTGGACGTGAACACCAGGGTAAGGAGCACTTTCGGCCACATACACAACTCTCCACCTCAATGGGGTGTGGGACAGACCCAAAGCACGTCAGTTCCCTCCCACCCCAAGTGTGTGCCAGCAAGACTCCTCGGTACCTCCACACCGTTAGACAGCACCAAGAGGAAGGGGCCAACTGTCCCACAACTGTCCATTCTGACTTCACAGAAGATGTTCCCATCACCACCTCGGTCTCAGACACTGGTCTCTGCATAACAGCAACTGAACAGAAAACCATTCCTCTTCCCAGCTTACTTAACTATGTGAGGCTTCAGTCTCCGCAACTCGTGATTAACCTGTCACTCTCCTTGATGTAGGAGCTCTGGTAGCATAGTGCCTAAGGCACTTGACTGCTAACCAGAAGGTTGGTGGTTCAAACCCACCAGCCACTCCTCGGAAGGAAGGTTGGGCAATCTACTTCCGTAGTGATACTGCCTCGGAAACCCAAGGAGGGGTCACTATGAGTCGGGGCCGACTCGACGGCAAATAACAACAACTCCTTGATGTTGAAGCAAACATATGGAGAAAAAGGAAGGAGCCCCTGCAACAATGCAATCACCCCGATCCCCGCGACGAGGACAACCACACTTACCGGATAAAACTCAAGTGAACACCCAGCGACCGGTGGGACCCTGAACAGTCGATACAGAGGAACACCCCGTAGGTGACACTCGCCCAGCTGGGGTTTTTGGCACCACAGTCAAAACATATCTGGAAGAAAAACAATCCATCACAGGTTAGAGGTCGTCTGTGACGTGCGACGGGCCCGGTGCCAGGACTGTCGAAAGTCGGCTCTGACATCAGCCGATTACCTCATTTTATCGTTATTAGTGCCTTCTATTATTGCTATCTTCATAAACTCAATCTTTGGGGTTTGGAAACATTACAGATAAACTTACAGATATATTTTAATATGTACATACATAAAAAAATACACAAATTGTGAAAATGGACGGTTGTAAGTGCAGGCTGTCCTAACTCAAGTACATCGTAAGTTGGGAACTGTCCATCATTTACATTAGCCAAATGAATCAACCTGTAGTTACAATACATGACTTAGCCTGAAAGCTTCTTAAACTTTACAATTTAAACTATGATTCTTAGAAAACATCTCACCAAGATTAAGAAAAAAACCCTCAAATTTCAATTTCTCTTTTATAATGCATGAGGAGGGGACCTAGGTTTGTATATCACCCCAAACATTCCTTATCCCTGCAGCATCAGTGGGGATCCCACTAGCCACAGAAATGAACTAGCCAAGGAGGCCCTGCAAGCTCTCAGTGCTTGGAAGACTTAAGGCCTTACCAGGGACCCTGGACGGTGGCTCGAGACCAGATGGTAGGTCCTCGTGCACACATTTCTCTCCCAGCCAGAGGAGGAGAAGGGTGTGGTAGCCAAGATAGCACCCAATGATCTCTGCCTCGTGGCATTCACACCCTTGTGGACCACGTCCTTCATGGTACCAGATGGTCTGTGTGACCAGTCAAATGTGACAGAAGTGCCAGCATGTCACCTCCGCAATGAGGTTATGGAAGATGTCATGGGTTCCTCTCTCGCTCGCTCCCTCTACCCCTTGGCTCACTAGCTCTGGGGCAAGCCAGCTGTCATATCTTGAGGACACTAGGGCAGCCCTTGGGGAAAGCCTCAACTGGCAAGGAACCATGAGCTTCAGTCCAAAAGCCACCAAGGAATCAAGGCCCCTTGACCAGCAGGTAAGTGAGCATGGAAGGGGCTCCTCCAGCTCTCAGGTGACTGTGGCCCTGGCCCCACAGCTTGACCACACCCTCACAAGAGATCCCGAGCCCTGGCATCCCACTAAGTCACTCCAGATTCCTGACCCTCAGAATGTGGGCAAGACAAGAAAGGTGTGTTGTTCTAAGATGCTGTCTTGGAGGGATTTAATATGTAGCAATAGACAACTACCTCAGCAGGGTGGGCCATGGGCTCCTAGAAGAACGGACAAATCTGTCTTGGAGGAAGTACAGTCGAATGCTCCTTAGAGGCGGGGATGGCCAGACCTCGTCTCTCATAGTTCAGTCATGTTATCAGAAGGGACCAGTCCCCGGAGAAGCACATCATGCTTGGTAAAGCAGAGGGTCAGTGAGAAAGGGGAAGACCCCCAACAAAACTCACTGACACAGTGGTGGTGACAACAGGCTCACGCATGCCAACAATTAGGAAGATGGGGTAGGGCCAGGTGGTGTTTCATTCTGCTGTGCACGGCGTCAACCAACAGCACCTGACAATGACAGAATGATGTGCCCGTATGCGAGGCTGTGGCCTGCTCCACTCTGCCCAGCCCCTCTTTCCACACAGCTCCTTACCCAGAATCGCGCTCTCACTGGGGGTACGAGGGGTTCTCAAGGGGCAGCAACACTTCCGGTCGCCCGTCTTCCCTCTCTGCCAGCACCGAGCTGTGCGTGGTCAGTAAATGCTCCGCAAATGTTTACGGAATGGCATGGGTGTTTCTGTATCGCCCACTGAGCCTGCAACGTCAGCCTTACTCATCGCAGACACTCAGCAAATACTGGTTCACCCAAGAACAACTTTCCCAACTTACCACCAGTTCAAAAATTATCACGAGCCCCCTCATCACTGACTGAGGTCAAGCATTCTCCATCTGGTCACAGGAGCTTAAAGCACTTTAAAACATGCAGGGCTTCTCACAGAGATTAGTATTTACAATTAATTATGTTCAGAACAATGGAATAGTAAAATTTCTACTAGTGGGAGAACTTATTTATTTTTTTCTAGACAAAAGAATACTTTACATACACTTTATAGAAGAGCCCCTACATGAAGGATGTCCAAGCTATAACCATCCAGAAAGATCTGGCTTCTAGCCTCTTGTGGGCAACACCAGAGAGAAAACACGGGTGAAATTTCCAAAGCCCCTGACCACGACAGGCTGGGATTAAGCATGCAAGAGTGTGCGTGTGTGCAGGGGGTGACAACTGGCATGAAAGGAGTCAGTCGCTTCACCTTGTGGTCTTTCACATGATTTACTTCTTCTTTGTTATTCTTGTTGAGAATCTGCGCAGCAAACATACGCCAATTCCCCAGTTTCTCCACGGACCACTCAGGGTCACTGACCACGCTGTGTGAGTCAGGCATCCATCCTCCCCTCCCTTTTCTGAGCTGTTCCTCCCCCTGAGCATAAACTCGCTGCTCCCTAAGGTTCCTGTCTCAACTTTGCAGTTGCTATTGTCACTCTGACCCCATAGAGACAGGTCTTAAAGAGCCAGTGCTCCGGGCTGGCCTTCTTCACTGTGAAGCTCAACTGTTGCTGGGCTTTAAGAAGACGTCAGGGATAATTTTGGTTTAAAGACGAAAGATCATCTGAGAGTAACAGGGGAGCTCTGGCGGTATAGTACCTCAGGCATCTGATTGCTAACCAGAAGGCTGTCAGTTCAAACCCATCAGTCACTCCTCTGAAGGAAGACTGGACAATCTGCTTCCATAGTGATACTTCTCTGAAAACCCAAGGAAGGGTCACTATGAGTTGCATGCGACTCAACAGCAGTGAGTTTGGTTTTGGTCTTCAAGGGCAACAGTTTTGGGGGTTCATTCAGCCTCCATGGCTCCAGAAGTCTGACTTCCATGAGAATTTGAAATTCTATTCTGCATTTCCCCCTTTTGGTCAGGATTCTTCTCCAGAATCTTTGATCAAAATGTATAGTAACAGTAGCCAGATACCATCCAGTTCTTCTGGTCTCATGGCAAAGGAGGTGGTTGTCCACGGAGGCAATTAGCTACACATCCATTTCCTCCTCTTATTCCTGACTCTCCTTCTCCCTCTGTTGCTCCAGGTGAATAGAGACCAACTGCTGTGGCCCGGACATCTCATGTTTACTGATTTCTTGCTGTAAGCCAAGCACTGTCACAGGCGCTGCGGTACAAGAAACACTTGAGGTCACTGCATTTCCTCTCCAACTCATCTACTAGTTATTATGCCATCCCATCTACCAAGTAGGAGCTCTGGTGACATAGTGAGTAAGGCATTTGGCTGCTAGCCAGAAGGTCAGTGGCTCAAACCCATCAGCTGCTCCACAGGAGGAAGATGAGGCAATGCACTTCTGTAAAGATTTACAGCGTGGGAAAGCCAATGGGGGTTGCTAAGAGTTGGCATCAACTCAATGGCAGTGGGTTTGGTTTGGGTATTGGTTTACCTGTCAAGCATGGTGCCCAGCACTGTGCCAGGTGCTGGACACACAAGGATGATTCAGAAGGAGTCTGCCCTCATGGAGCCCACACCCTAGCCGGCAAGGCAATTAGTTATAAGATGGAATCATAATGAGCAAACACAGATGCAACGTGTTTTCTGGAATGGGGTCCCGGAGGCATTTGTGCCCTGAAGAATAGGGTCTGAAAAGAAAGGAAGTGGCAAAAGAGCCTGTGTGGGAAATGGCCTTCTGGTCAGAGGTGACCACAGCAGAGGTTTGGTGTGCACGGCTAGAGCAGGCCAGCCAGGGCCCAGTGTGCACGGATGGAGCAGGCCAGCCGGGGCCCGGTGTGCGCGGATGGAGCAGGCCAGCCGGGGCCCGGTGTGCGCGGATGGAGCAGGCCAGCCGGGGCCCG